TGAGCTCCAGAAGTGAGTGAGTGAGTTAGTTCAGGTTTATGGTCACATCAGCAATATTTCAGCCATATTGTGAGCTGCAGCAGAAGATGATATCTTCATTAGCCAGTTCATGGTAAAATGGTTTATTGGCTTTTGCTATGATAACTATTTCTTTCAGTGATATACCTGTTGCGAATGCAATGTTTTTTTCGACATTTCAGTTCAGTGGTTCCAGTAAACAAAGTAATAAAAAACAAATACCTCAGTACCACCAGCCATGGTGTCGGGCCTGGTAATAAAGTGAGGCTTAATTTCACCTGCCACATGGTAGGTAAACAGGAACGTAAATCAGGAACTCTCGCCAGTGTTGCAGGGACCCCACCGATGATGGAGTTAGCTGAGGCTTCAATCACCTTCACGACCGCCTCTGTGGTCAGGTGGATAGAGAGTATGGCCGGAGTCGGTGGTGCGATCTCCGCCCGCATCATAAGAAAAGTTGTTAAAAGATTATACTTGTTGTAGCCCTGCCTGGCGCTTGGCATTTAGGGGATAAAACAAGGGCTGGTTGGCTTGGTGTCAGTATTCTGTGTCTGTAAGGTGTATCCATATTTAACTGCGGCATGGTATCTCAATGGGCTTGCATTATAAAACCAGCATTAGTCCAGCCTAGTACAAGCAGCCACACACACACACACATTGTTATATATTATATATAAGTGCAACGACCTTGAACGCGACATGACACCCCATTTCATCTCACCTTTACATTCACTTACTGAATGAATCATTAATGACAGGTTCATCAGTGGCACGATCTCTGACATTTTGGAATTCAATTTTGTGACCTTTGCTTCTTGAAATGATGTTACAAAACTCACTGTATTTACATGTATACTGTTGAGACTAATGACCGTCTGGCCTGATGTGATGTAACAAATACCACTGCTGTTGCCATTAAGACTCACTGGGAAAATTACTCATGTGTCAAAGAGTCCTTTGACAACACTTGTGAGTGAATTTGTTGCGAATATGATATGGTGCAACCGAAAATCATAGCCTGAGGTATAACGTCACAGATATGGCGTTATATATCAAAGAAAAGTAACATATTGTTTATGGCAAAAGTTATTGAGAGTTGTACCATTAAGTTCTTTAAACTATGACTTCATTTAAGAATTGACTTTCACGTCATGGCTTGTAACGATGTAACAATGTTTGGCCCTCACTCTATGAAGGTTCATAATAAAATGAATTCAAACAAGGCGATTGTCAGATCTAATAATTTTCTTTATCACAATTTCAAACCTTGAATTCAAACAAGGCGATTGTCAGAGCTAATCATTTTCTTTATCACAATTTCAAACCTTGAAGGAAGCAGACACAATTTTATTTCGTGTGTGGGACTTCATGTTTACACCGACAGCCACACAACAACCAGCTGTATCTTGGAATAAAATGGTTCCTCACAAGGAGAGTTGGTCGGTTGGTTTTGTTGTTTAACGGCGAAAGCAATATTCCAGCTATATGACAGGGGTCTGTAAATAATCGAGTCTGGACCAGACAATCCAGTGACTGATATCATGAGCATTGATCGATGCAATTGGGATCAATCACATGCTTCGATCAACCAATTCAGCGAGCCTGACCACCCGATCCCGTTGGTCGCCTCTTACGCCATGCATAGTCGCCTGTCATGGCAAGCATGGGTTGCTGAAGACCTTTTCTATCCCGGATCTTCACGGGTCTCACAAGGAGAGGTGACATGAGCGTAGGTATGCCTGAAGTGATCTTCAGTAGTCTTTTGTACTTTGGTCACAACAACTAGATTTGAATAATATCACAACAAGATGGGAAATATAATATGGGATATCTGTTACAAAACATGAATTGTAATACATTTACACTAAGTACATGATGTCAAAATGACGCAATCATTGTGATGTGGGAGATTGCTGAACGTGTCATTAAACCTTTGAGGATTTTATGTAAGTCATCATTTGATCCATCAGTCAGGGGTGATTATGAAGAAATGTCAAATAAATACAGAATGTCTTATATTTTTACAATAACATGCACTTGTATTTGTTTCCTTTATAAGGTGTTTGTAATGGTCTGTATTTGTATGTACACTGTGTTTCATCAATTATTATTTAGAAAGCTGCATTAGTTTATGTTAGGGGCAGTGGGGAAGCCTACTGGTAAAAGCATTCGCTTGTCATGCTGAAGACCTGAGTTAGATTCCCCACATAGGTACAAATGTGTGAAGCCCATTTCTGATCTTCCCCGCCGTGATATTGCTGAAAGCGGTGTAAAACCCAACTCACTCACTCACTATTTTATGTAATGTTTTTTTGTTGTTACATCCTTGAGTTTTCTAATCCAGTACAGACAGACAAGCAAATTAAATTAAATTAAACTATTTGTGTTTTTTGATAAATGTTTATTATGGCCGATCTAACCAAGCCAAAACATGAATGACGCATCACCTTAAACAGGTATTTCCCTACTCTGTGGAGCTGGCAGCAGACCTGAACAACAAACTCTGGAGGTGGATAGAGGAGGTCTGTGCACACCTGTATAATAGCAGGTACTAGTGGGCACGTACATCAACACGGTGTCTGGATATGCCCAGCTCATGCAGAGAGATGGCTGCCCCTGTAATTGCTTGAGACTGAGGGCTGCTTATCCTGCCTAACTCCTTGTCTTGGAGGCAACAGAAACAGGCAAAGTGTTTCTACTGTCAGGTGCAGCTATATATTCTTCATACTATTGGATGGGGCTCCACATTCCCTACTGTCTTATATGGCTCCATATTCCCAATACAGATGGGTATGGTTCCATATTCCAATTAGAGTCGGGGAGCCATATTCCCCTCACAATTGAGTTTAGTTCCATATTCCCTGTATGGTCAGGTATTGCTCCATATTCCCTACTATCTTGTATGACTTCATATTCCCCATACAGTCAGATATAGCTCCATATTCCTTACACAGTTCTCTTCTGGCTCCATATTCTCTACAGAGTTGGGTATGGTTCCATATTCCCAATGCAGTCTAGTATGGCTCCATATTTCCCATGCAGTCAGGTATGGTTCCATATTCCCCATGCGGTCAGGTATGGCTCCATATTCCCAATGCAGTCAGGTATGGTTCCATATTCCCCATGCGGTCAGGTATGGCTCCATATTCCCCATGCAGTTAGGTATGGCTCCATATTCCCCATGCAGTCAGGTATGGCTCCATATTCCCCATGCAGTTGGGTATGGCTCCATATTCCCTACACAGACTCATTCTCACCATACAGTTGGATATGGCTCCATATTCACTACTGTCAGGTATGTATCCACATTCGATATAAAGTCAGGTATGGCTGCATACTCCCCTAACAGTTGTGTATGGCTCCATATTCCATAAAAATAAGAGGATACTGAGACAAAAGATGATGAAGTAGAGCATCCAGTGAAATCAAATATATACGGAGACATTATTAAAATGTTATGTATAAAGTTGTTATATGTTTCAATCTATCACTTCCTCCATGTTCAGATTTGTCCAGATAATGTGTAATAAGTTATGAAAGTTTAAAATACTGCCTGCTTCCATTGCAAATCCATTCAATCAATACAGACAATACCCCCTTGTGGTAACATATGCGTGATGCATGTTGACTACGCCTTATGAGATTACACTGTGTCCACATTGTGAGCAGAGCAACAGGTTAAATACTGGCTGTGGGACTTGTGTCTATGGCTATGTGATCAACGTAAACCAACTGCTGAGCTGTGATAGCCAGGTACACTGCCAGCTCTCCGCCTCTTACCTATGCTTAGTGCTGTAGGTAGAGATCGAGTGTATTGAAGGAGAACACAGCCAGCTTATGGCCTCTTGTCTATACTTAGTGCTATAGATAGAGAGTGCATTTAAAAAGTTGATGCAACTGAAACTATCCTGGTCATTTAGGCTGATCTGATTGTACACCTGAGATGTGGATGAAAGAGGATCCCATGTCAACTCAAGTCCAATATTATCTTTGTCTTAATCAGTGTACCGGGTTAGTACTGAAAGTTAACCTTTAAAAGTATCACTCAGCTAGTCTTGAAAAGATGTTTTTGTCTGTTACAATTACTGATTTGGATATTTTACTTTGAATATTTCATGTTTTAGGGACTGGACTATGACAGTCAGGGTGGTCCAGAGGGATTTATAGAGGGTGGTCCAGAGAGAATCAGAAAGGGTGGTCTAGTGAGGATCAGAAAGGTTGGACCAGGAAGAATCAGAAAGGGTGGTCCAGGGAGAATCAGGAAGGTGGTCCAGGGAGAATCAGGAAGGTGGTCCAGGGAGAATCAAGGAGGGTGGTCCAGAGAGAATCAGAAAGGGTGGTTCAGGGAGAATCAGAGAGGATCAGAAAGGGTGGTCCAGAGAGAATCAGAAAGGGTGGTCTAGAGAGAATCAGGGAGGGTGGTCCAGAGAGAATCAGAGGGGATCAGGGAGGGTGGTTTCAGGGAGAATCAGGAAGGTGGTCCAGGGAGAATCAGAAAGGGTGGTTCAGGGAGAATCAGAGGGGATCAGGAAGGGTGGTCCAGTGAAAATCAGGGAGGGTGGTCCAGGGAGAATCAGAGGGGATCAGGGAGGGTGATCCAGGATGAATCAGGGAGGGTGGTCCAGGGAGGATCAGAAAGGATCAGAAAGGGTGGTCCAGGGAGAATCAGGGAGAATCAGGGAGGGTGGTCCAGGGAGAATCAGGGAGGATCAGAAAGGGTGGTCCAGGGAGCATCAGGGAGGGTGGTCCAGGGAGAATCAGGGAGGATCAGAAAGGGTGGTCCAGGGAGCATCAGGGAGGGTGGTCCAGGGAGAATCAGGGAGGGTGGTCCAGGGAGGGTGGTCCAGAGAGAATCAGGGATGATGGTCCAGGGAGAATCAGGGAGGGTGGTCCAGGGAGAATCAGGGAGGGTGGTTCAGAGAGAATCAGGGAGGGTTGTCCAGAGAGAATCAGGGAGGGTGGTCCAGTGAGGATCAGAAAGGATGGTCCAGAGAGAATCAGAAAGGGTGGTCCAGGGAAGATCAGGGAGAATCAGAAAGGGTGGTCCAGGGAGGATCAGGGACCATCAGGGAGGGTGGTCCAGGGAGAATCAGGGATGGTGGTCCAGGGAGAACCAGGGAGGGTGGTCCAGGGAGGATCAGGGAGGTGGTCCAGGGAGAATCAGGGAGGGTGGTCCAGTGAGGATCAGAAAGGGTGGTCCAGGGAGAATCAGTGAGGGTGGTCCAGGGAGAATCAGGGAGGGTGGTCCAGGGAGAATAAGGGAGGGTGGTCCAGGGAGAATCAGGGAGGGTGGTCCAGAGAGAATCAGGGAGGGTTGTCCAGAGAGAATCAGGGAGGGTGGTCCAGTGAGGATCAGAAAGGATGGTCCAGAGAGAATCAGAAAGGGTGGTCCAGGGAAGATCAGGGAGAATCAGAAAGGGTGGTCCAGGGAGGATCAGGGAGCATCAGGGAGGGTGGTCCAGGGAGAATCAGGGATGGTGGTCCAGGGAGAACCAGGGAGGGTGGTTCAGGGAGAATCAGGGAGAATCAGGGAGGGTGGTCCAGTGAGGATCAGAAAGGGTGGTCCAGGGAGAATCAGAAAGGGTGGTCCAGGGAGAATCAGAAAGGGTGGTCCAGAGAGAATCAGGGAGGGTGGTCCAGAGAGAATCAGGGAGGGTGGTCCAGAGAGGATCAGGGAGGGTGGTCCAGGGAGGATCAGAGAAGGTGGTCAAGGGAAAATCAGGGAGGGTGGTCCAGGGAGAATCAGAGAGGGTGGTCCAGGGAAAATCAGAGAGGATGGTCCAGTGAGAATCAGTGAGGGTGGTCCAGGGAGGATCAGGGAGGGTAGTCCAGGGAGAATCAGAAAGGGTGGTCCAGGGAGGATCGTGAGGGTGGTCCAGGGAGCATCAGGGAGGGTGGTCCAGGGAGAATCAGGGAGGGTGGTCCAGGGAGGGTGGTCCAGAGAGAATCAGGGATGATGGTCCAGGGAGAATCAGGGAGGGTGGTCCAGGGAGAATCAGGGAGGGTGGTCCAGAGAGAATCAGGGAGGGTTGTTCAGAGAGAATCAGGGAGGGTGGTCCAGTGAGGATCAGAAAGGATGGTCCAGAGAGAATCAGAAAGGGTGGTCCAGGGAAGATCAGGGAGAATCAGAAAGGGTGGTCCAGGGAGCATCAGGGAGGGTGGTCCAGGGAGAATCAGGGATGGTGGTCCAGGGAGAACCAGGGAGGGTGGTTCAGGGAGGATCAGGGAGGTGGTCCAGGGAGAATCAGGGAGGGTGGTCCAGTGAGGATCAGAAAGGGTGGTCCAGGGAGAATCAGGGAGGGTGGTCCAGGGAGAATCAGGGAGGGTGGTCCAGGGAGAATCAGGGAGGGTGGTCCAGGGAGAATCAGGGAGGGTGGTCCAGAGAGAATCGGGGAGGGTTGTCCAGAGAGAATCAGGGAGGGTGGTCCAGTGAGGATCAGAAAGGATGGTCCAGGGAGAATCAGAAAGGGTGGTCCAGGGAAGATCAGGGAGAATCAGAAAGGGTGGTCCAGGGAGGATCAGGGAGCATCAGGGATGGTGGTCCAGGGAGAATCAGGCATGGTGGTCCAGGGAGAACCAGGGAGGGTGGTTCAGGGAGAATCAGGGAGGGTGGTCCAGTAAGGATCAGAAAGGGTGGTCCAGGGAGAATCAGAGAGGATGGTCCAGTGAGAATCAGTGAGGGTGGTCCAGGGAGGATCAGGGAGGATCAGGGAGGGGGGTCCAGAGGGAATCAGAGAGGGTGGAGATTAACATAATTCAAATATGACAAACCTATGCTCATGTTCTTTGTCATCTACGTAATATACAGATGAACTCACATGCGATGACTGTTGCCAAATCTAACTGTTGCTGTGCTGTCAGCCAGTTGACCTTCCAGCAAAAGCAGCACTTACCTCCAGGGGAAATAGAGAATTAGCTATTGACTATATCAATTTCCTATTGATCCGTGCTACTTGTGTCAGTGCCGCCACCGGCGCTGACCGAATCCTTTAACTCCTGACATTTCTCTTCATTGCTTGGCTTGTCATCTGTGTCACGAAACAGTAAATAACCCCTACATTTTTCAATCAGACATTTCAAATGCCACAGTTTCAGTTGGCAGGTACAAAGTTTTCTGTGATACTAATAGCTGTCTACGATGGTCTGGTTCTGTCTAGGGCTGTCTGGGACTGTCTTGGGATTATTATCTAGTCATACTTGTTAATTAAGTCATTGGCATGAACTGGATTCTATTTGAAACTTTAGGTTTGCTTTCATTTGTTCCTTGAAATGGGGTGAGAGGAGGGGAGGGGAGGGGAGGGGGTCACTGGTGGCGTACTTGTCACACTTGTCTAAAGTTTGATCAGATCAGAGATAAATGAGATAAATTGTACATATACACCCACAAGGGGCCAAGTACAGAACAAATTAACACAGTACAATCTGTAGGAAATAATACAGTGATGATAACATGAGACACAATGTTGAGGCATTTCAAACATGCTGTGTATTAAGTGGGCTATGAGGGCTCTACAATCAGTTCACAGTTGGCTTGTTCACTCGGCAGGTTCACTTGGCTGGTTCACTCGGCTTGTTCACCTCCTTGGTTCACTCGGCTGGTTCACTTGGCAGGTTCACTTTACTAGTTCACTTGGTTGGTTCACTCGACTGGTTCATTTGGCAGGTTCACTTGGCTGGTTCACTTGCTTGCTTGGTTCACTTGTTTGGTTCACTTGGCTTGTTCATTTGGCTGGTTCACTTGGTTCACTTGGCTGCTTCACTTGGCTGCTTCACTTGCTTGCTTGGTTCACTTGGCTGGTTCACTTGTTTGGTGTAACTTGGCTTGTTCACTTGGTTCACTTGTTTGGTGTAACTTGGCTGGTTCACTTGGCTGGTTCACTTGCTTGCTTGGTTCACTTGCTTGCTTGGTTCACTTGGCTTGTTCATTTGGCGGGTTCACTTGGTTCACTTGGCTGGTTCACTTGGTTCACTTGGCTTGTTCACTTGCCTGGTTTGCTTGTTTGGTGTAACTTGGCTTGTTCACTTGGTTCACTTGTTTGGTGTAACTTGGCAGGTTCACTTGGCTGGTTCACTTGCTTGCTTGGTTCACTTGTTTGGTTCACTTGGCTTGTTCATTTGGTTGTTTCACTTGGTTCACTTGGCTGGTTCACTTGCTTGCTTGGTTCACTTGTTTGGTTCACTTGGCTTGTTCGTTTGGCTGGTTCATTTGGCAGGTTCACTTGGCTGGTTCACTTGCTTGCTTGGTTCACTTGTTTGGTTCACTTGGCTTGTTCATTTGGCGGGTTCACTTGGTTCACTTGCCTGGTTCACTTGTTTGGTGTAACTTGGCTTGTTCATTGGGCTGGTTCACTTGGCTTGTTCATTGGTTCACTTGCCTGGTTCACTTGCCTGGTTCACTTGTTTGGTGTAACTTGGCTTGTTCACTTGGTTCACTTGTTTGGTGTAACTTGGCTGGTTCACTTGCTTGCTTGGTTCACTTGTTTGGTGTAACTTGGCTTGTTCACTTGGTTCACTTGTTTGGTGTAACTTGGCTTGTTCACTTGGTTCACTTGTTTGGTGTAACTTGGCTTGTTCACTTGGTTCACTTGGCTGGTTCACTTGGCTGGTTCACTTGCTTGCTTGGTTCACTTGTTTGGTGTAACTTGGCTGGTTTACTTGGTTCACTTGTTTGGTGTAACTTGGCTTGTTCACTTGGTTCACTTGTTTGGTGTAACTTGGCTGGTTCACTTGCTTGCTTGGTTCACTTGCTTGCTTGGTTCACTTGCTTGGTTCACTTGGCTGGTTCACTTGGCTGGTTCACTTGCTTGCTTGGTTCACTTGTTTGGTGTAACTTGGTTGGTTCACTTGGCTGGTTCACTTCCTTGGTTCACTTGGCTGGTTCACTTCCTTGGTTCACTCGGCTGGTTCACTTGGCTGGTTCACTCGGCAGGTTCACTTGGCTGGTTCACTCAGCTGGTTCACCTGGCTGGTTCACTCGGCTGGTTCACTTGGCTGGTTCACTCGGCTGGTTCACTCGGCTGGTTCACTTGGCTGGTTCACTTGGCTGGTTCACTTCCTTGGTTCACTCGGCTGGTTCACTCGGCTGGTTCACTCGGATGGTTTACTTCCTTGGTTCACTTGGCTGGTTCACTTGCTTGCTTGGTTCACTTCCTTGGTTCACTTGGCTGGTTCACTTCCTTGGTTCACTTGGCTGGTTCACTCGGCTGGTTCACTTGGCTGGTTCACTTGGCTGGTTCACTTGGCTGGTTCACTTGCTTGCTTGGTTCACTTCCTTGGTTCACTTGGCTGGTTCACTTCCTTGGTTCACTTGGCTGGTTCACTCAGCTGGTTCACTTGGCTGGTTCACTTGGCTGGTTCACTTGCTTGCTTGGTTCACTTCCTTGGTTCACTTGGCTGGTTCACTTCCTTGGTTCACTCGGCTGGTTCACTTGGCTGGTTCACTCGGCTGGTTCACTTGGCTGGTTCACTTGGCTGGTTCACTTGCTTGCTTGGTTCACTTAGCTGGTTCACTTCCTTGGTTCAATTGGCTGGTTCACTCAGCTGGTTCACTCGGCTGGTTCACTTCCTTGGTTCACTTGGCTGGTTCACTTGGCTGGTTCACCTGCATGGTTCACCTGCTTGGTTCACTCGACTGGTTCACTTGGCTGCGACATGCCAGAAACTATGATCATTGGTTCCAACCCCAGATTCACCCTGATTACGTTTCTAGGTTTGTCTGGTTGGCAGGCGCCACGATGTTGATGACTGCATGTCTATCTCCCCAGATGGTGTGTTAAGATCTGTGGTACAATAGGTCTTTAGCAACCCATGCTTGCCATAAAAGGCTACTCGCTGACTTGGTTCATGCTTGTCACTGTATCCCAATTGTGTGGATCGATGCTCATGATGTCAATCATTGGATTGTCTGCGGCGTTAAACAACAAACCAAACAAAATTAATATGATCCTAACTATCAACAAGAGCTTGTGAAGACTCTTCTGCGTGCATGGTCACAGCATGGCTGAATGAATATCGAGGTAATCATGAATCTGTGGAACGTGAAAATTCAGCTAAGGGGAAGACCACTCAAGAGGAAGATTATCTGATTGTTCATTTGCCGGCAATAGCTCCCAGCTTCATAGATGTACACTAAAGAGATTTTGTTTCCCCTGTCAAAGTCAAGTAATTGCTTAATCACAGATGCCCTAAAGCTATGATTATTGTTACACCCATGAATCACTATTTTTGCAAAGTGCTGCCTCAAACAGTGTTTCCTCGTGGGCAACTGTGTTTGTCTGCAACTGTTGATATTCAAAGTCTCGTTCAGATAGACTTCAGTAGTCATTGAAAGTAGGTTCTTCAATTTCTGCCTTGAAAAAGCATTGAGTTGCAGTTTCATCATCATCATAATCATCATTATAAAGGTTTCTTTAATGTCATTGAATTTTCCTGACCATATACGGTCACATGTACAAATATCTAGAATTGTGAAAAATATTTTGTAGTTTGAAAATAACCTGTTGAAATCAATCTGTTCAATCAGTAATCAATAACCATACTTACCTTTTTAATGATCAGCTGGTTCCATCATAGTGGAATATGCAAAACCCAATAATAAATTGAACAGAAATATTTTTAATTTTTAATTTAGAAGCATGTGTTTTTTTTATTTGGGAGGAATTGCGAGGGGCAGTGCTTCTGAAAGGGCAGGGCAAGTTTACCTTTTAGCAAACACCTGGAGTCAGCACTGAATTTCATTGATCCATTCTTAAAATTTTCATCACCATTTTGCCTTTTACTCAAATCAATTTATTTTGGCAGATAATGGAGACTGTTTCTTCTCTGGCATTGACATTTTATGTATATTTGATGGCCATGGGTACGGCACTGGAAACATGGATGCCTTGTATCATCTGGGCACCCTCCTGTTTGCAGAATCATACCCGAGGTACTCTCCTGCAGCATCTGGTCTCACAACGACCTTTCCTGCATCAGTGATGTAGAGCATCATAGAATAAATGCAAAGTCATTCTTGACATCAACCCAGGTCCCAAAGTAGATCTACACCTAACAGCACCAACACTGATTGGTCCTGATTGGGAACTTCACACAGCCCAGATGAGGAGATGAAAGATGCTGGTATATTTAGCAGCCACCAGATCATCCACAGTGGTCAGATGCCGACAACTGGCCAGATCATCGCATGACCTTCACATGACCTTCAGATCCCAATCTTCTGATCTGATATTCATCTGACATGGAAATTGAAGAATGGTTTAACAAATGACTGGTTCTGTTTGTGGTGTTGTGAGCTTGTTTGCTGACTGTATAAACAGACTTGTCATGTCTCTCCCCACAGTGAGGAAGTCCTATTCCACAGATACAAGGATTCATTTCCAATCTCTGCCACTGATATCCACAACCACTTTCCATTGTAAGGATAGGACCATTTCTTTCTCTTGGAAGTCGGTATTTATTCTAAAAGTTACTATATAATTTATCCTCTGAATGACCTTTGCTCCATAAAAAATATATTACCTCTTGAGAAAAGATTAATAAGAATAAATTCAACCTTTTTTCCTGTTTGTTAAAATAATTGAAAATAATCCACTGAATACTAATTCTTCTTGAACATTATGAAA